TAGAAGTTTGTACCTTTTGATCACCTTCACCCATTTCACCAACCCCCCAGCCCCTGCCTCTGCCAATCACTAATTTGTTCTATCTATGAGTTCCTCTTTTTCTCTTTTTTAGACTCCACATATAAGTGAGATCATATGGTATTTGTCTTTCTCTATGTGACTTATTCCACTTAGCCTAATGCTCTCAAGGTCTATCCACGTTCATAAACGGTAAGATTTCCTTCTTTTTCATGGCTTAATAATATTCTGTTGTGTGTGTATATATATATATACATATATATATATACAGTAGTCCCCCCTTATCCATGGGGCATATGTTTCAAGACGCCTGGTGGAGGCCTGAAACTGTGGATTGTACCAAACCCTATATATACAATGTTTTTTCCTATACATACATACCTATGATAAAGTTTAATTTATAATTAGGCACAGTAAGAGATTAATAACAACCAATGAAGTAGAACAATTATAACAATATACTGTAATAAAAGTTACGTGAATATGGTCTCTCTGTCTTTCAGTCCAAACCTATTCCCGAATCTGCGTAACCATTCCTTACATGCAGTAAATTGCTTGGTGCCAGGGAATCCCTTGCTGAAGTCTTTGTACAGGCCCAAAGCTTTCTGGTGCAACATGTTGCCCTCAATCAGAACACATTTTCTGTTCATGTCTTCCACTCACAAATTTAATGCCTTTTCCGTATTAACTAAGCACTTATCACACACTGTGGCTGTAACTTTTGCAGTTTGAGGTGCAACAGCAAAATTAGCATGAAATTCTTTTTCCTTCTTCACAATTTTACAGATAGAAGATTTGTTCTTAGCAATCTCAGCATACAATTTTTTTCTTTTCTTAAGTTGAGGACTTTCACATTTTCACTTAACGGAAGCACTTTACAGCTTCTCTTCAGCATATCCTAATTGCCAGCATCACTATTCTTGCACTTTGGGGCAGTTATTAAGTAAAATAAGGGCTACTTGAATACAAGCACTGTGATATTTCAACAGTTGATCTGGTAACCAAGATGGCTACTAAATGACTAATGGGCAGGTAGCATATACAGTGTGGATATGCTGGACAAAGGGATGATTCATGTCCCAGTGGGATGGAGCAGGACAGTGCAAGATTTCATCTTGCTACTCAGAACAACAATTTAAAACTTATGAATCGTTTTTTTCTGTAATTTTCCATTTAATATTTTCAGACCAGAGTTGACTGCCGGTAACTGAAACCACAGAAGGTGAAACCATGGATAAGGGGGGACTATCATACACATTTTGTTTACCCATTCTTCAATCAATAGACACCTAGGTTGCATCCATGTGTTGGCTACTGTAAATAATGCTGTACTGAACATGGGGGTGCACATATCTTTTCAAGTTAGTGTTTTTGTTTCCTTTGGATAACCATGTAGAAGCAGAATTGCTGGACCATATGGTAGTTCTATTTTTAATTTTTTGAGAAACCTCCATACTGTTTTCCATAGTGGCTGCACCAATTTACATTCCCACCAACAGTGCACAAGGCTTCCAATTTCTCCACACCCTCAACAACATTTCTTATTTCTTGTCTTTTTTGTAATAGCCATTCTAACAGGTGTGAGGTGATATCTCATTGTGCTTTTGATTTGCATTTCCCTGATGATTAGTGATGTTGAGCATCTTTTCATGGACCTGTTGATCATCTGTATGTCTTCTTTGGAAAAGTGTCTATTCAGATCCTTGCTTTACATATTTAAGGGTTCTGATGTCAGGTGCATATAAATTTATAACTGTTATATCTTCCTGGTGGATTGCTCCTTTTATCATTATATAATGTCCTTCTTGTGAGAATTTTTGACTTAAAAGTCTATTTTGTCTAATATAAGTATAGTCACCCCTGCTTTCTTTTGGTTATCATTTGCATGGAATTTCTTTTTCTATCCCTTCACTTTCAGCCTATGTGTATTCTTAAAACTGAAGTGAATTTCTTATAGACATCATATAGGTGAGTCTTGTTTTTTCACCCATTCAGCCACTCTGTATCTTTTGGTTGGGGAGTTTAATCTGCTTGTGTTTAAAGCAATTATTGATAGGTAAGAACTTACTATTGCCAGTTTTGTTGTTTTCAGTCTTGTAGTTCTTTTGTCTCTCTTCCTCTTTTGCTGTCTTCCTTTGTTTTGTTGTGTTTTTTTGTATGGATGTACTTTAATTCCTTTCTTTTTCTTTTGTGTAATTTTTATTGGCATTTTTTGTGGTTATCTTGTGGCTTACATAAAATATCTTATAGTCATAACAGTCTATTTTAAGCTAATAACAACTTTAGCTTAATCACATATAAAAACTCAACACTTTAACTTCTCCCCTTCTCCAATTTGTTATTGGTACAATTAGCATCTATTCATATTGTGTATCTTTTAACACATTTTTAGTTAGTTTTAATACTTTCGTTTTTTAACTTTTATACCAGAATTAAAAACGATTTACCCACCAGCATTACAGTAATACAGTATTATATATTTGTCTATATGTTTACTTTTGCCAATGAGTTTCATATTTCCTTATGCTATTGTGATGCTTTTTAGCATTCTTTCATTTCAACTTGAAGAACTTCCTCTAACATTTCTTTTAAGGCAGTTCTAGTGGTGATAAATTCCCTCAGCTTTTGTCGGTGGAACACTTTATTTCTCCTTCGTTTTTGAGGGACAGTTTTGCCAGGTGAAGTATCCTTGGTTGACAGTTTTTTTCTTTCACACTTTGAATATATCATGCCACTCCCTTCTGGCCTCCAAAATTTCTGCTGAAAAAATACTGAGAGTCTTATGGACATTACCTTGCATGTGACAATTCACTTTTCTCTTGCTTCTTTCAAAATTCTCTTTCTGTTTTTGGTTTTTGACAATTTGATTATAATGTGTCTCAGTGTGGACATCTTTGCATTCACCTTGTTTTGTGTTCTCTATACTTCATGGATCTGTATGTCCATTTCTTTCTCCAGATTTTGGAAGTTTTCAGTCATTATTCCTTTCAATAATAATTCTGTTCCTTTTTCCTTCTCTTCTTCTGGAACTCCCAAAATGTGTATATTGGTTGTCTACATGGTACCCCATAAGTCCCTAAGCTTTCTTCACTCTTTTTCATTTTGCTCTTCTGACTGAATTATTGCCAATGATCTATCTTTGAGTTCACTGATCCTTTCTTCTGCTTGATCTAATCTGATATTGAACCCTTCTAGTGACTTTTTCAGCTCAGCTATTATGTTCTTCAGCTCCATGTTTTCTGTCTGGTGCTTTTTTATATCTTCTATCATTGTGTTGAAATTCTCACTTTGTTCATGCACTGTACTCTTGACCTCTATGAGTATCTTTATGACAGCTATTTTGAATTCTCCATCAGGTAAATTATGTACCTCTATTTCACTAGGGCAGTTTCTGGAGATTTATCTTGCTCCTTTATTTGGAACATCTTTGATTCATTTTCCTTGACTCTCTGTGTTGGTGTCTGTGTATTAGACAAAGTAGGCACCTCTCTCAGTCTTCATGGACAGATCTCATACAGAAGACCCCCACCAATCAGTCCAGCCAGAGATTCTGGGGGCCTCTATCAACACTTGCCCTTCTAAGGGAGCTGGCAGCTGTGGTTTTTGTCTGCTTGCTCTGTGCTGAGCCAGGGGAAGCAGCTACGGCATCTTACCAGTCCAAACCACCATCTCTAGTCTCCTCCAGGTGGCTATTCTGCACCAGATTCATCAGGGCTCCAAGTCTGGCAAGACAGATGCCAGTTCTTTGAGCAGCCCTCAAGAAGTTGGGGCACTTAATGCATGGATCAACTCTCTCTCCTCAGGGAAAAACTGAGCTGGGATTTTTCATCTGCTCATTCTGTGCTGAGCAGTGGGAAGGATCTATGGTGTCTACTAGTCCAAATTGCCAAATTTTCATTTCTCTGGGATAAATGTCTAGAAGTGTAATTGTTGAGTCTTGTGGTGTTTGTTTAGTTTTTTAAAAAACTGTTTATTTTTCAGAATTGCTATATAATTTTACACTCCCACCAGCAATGTATGAAAGATCCAGTTTCTCTGAATCCTCAGCAACAGTTAGCATTGTGTATTTTTAAAATTTCAGCTATTCTAATAGGTCTGTAGTGATTGCTCACAGGGTCCTAATTTGCATTTCTCTAATGTCCACTAATGTTGAATATCTTTTCATGTGCTTATTTGCCATCCGTATATCCTCTTCAGTAAAATACCTCTTCATGTCTTTGCCCATTTTCTAATTGGATTGTTTGCTTTGATATAGTTGGCTAGTGAGAGTTCTTTATATATTCTAGATATGAGTCTTTTATCAGATATGCAGCTTGCAAGTATTTTCTCCCAGTCTGTAGCTTGTCTTTTCATCCTCTTAACAGGGTCTTTCACAAAGCAAGAGTTTTTACTTTTGATGAGGGTCAATTTATGGATTTTTTCTTTTATGGACCATGCTTTTGGTGTTATGTTCAAGAATTCTTCACTAAGCCCTAGGTCCCAAGATGTTCTATGTTTTCTTCTAAGAAGTTCTATAGTTTTATATTTTACACTTAAATCTATGATCTATTTTGAGTTTTATATAAAGTTTAAGGTTTAGGTTGAGGTTCATTTTATTATCTATGTACATCCATTTTTTCAGCACCATTTGTTGAAAAGACTCCTTCCTCCATGGAATTGCTTTTGCCCCTTTGTCAAAAATCAGTTGGCCATACATGTGTGGGCTCCCTATTTCTGGGTTCTCTCTTCTGTTCCATTAATCTATGTGTTTATCCCAACACCAATACCACACAGTCTTGAAATTCAGTAGAGCAGTTCCTCCCATGTTGTTGTTTTCCAAAATTACTTTAACTTTTCTAGTTCTTTTGTCTTTTAGAAAATTTATATTCACCATAAATAAATATTTCACAATATATACATATATCTACTCATCATGTTGTACACTTTAAATATATACAATTATACCTCAATAAAGTTGGGGGAAAACGTTGAGATAAAAAAAGACCAGAAGTTTGACAGGAAAAGCAGAAAAGACATGAACAATTATTAAAAATATAAAAATGGCCCTTAGACATATTAAAACATGTTCAAATTCATTAGCTGTTTCACTTGGGTCACAACAATGACAACCCTGGTTAGTAAACTTTGTCTCCCCATTGGCCTTTCTTCTACGAAATCAAGTGGCCATGGGCAAGGTTTGGAGTAATTTTTCTTCCAGGAATCCTTGGATGGGGCATTTAAGAAAGGGCCCTTCTCATATTAAGCTGTTTATCATCTTATTGCTGATAGTGACTATTCTTCATGGGATGCATTGTAAGTGGGAATCTCTTTATTACCAAATAGTCATCCCTAGAAAATTGTGAAGTTCAGAGGATTGGGGGAAAAAAGCAGAAAAGGTGTCCTATGTCTTGCTCATAAAAGGGAAATGGCATATTATTAATTTAAAGCAAAAGAATTATTTGTCAAGAATTTCTCTGTTTATACACATCAAAATGGGAAACTAGGTTTGGACATATCTTTTATCAGGATGACTGGGTATTCAGAGAGTGACCTGGATTCTCTTGTGACTATCAGCACTTGCTCAGGGCTAAAGGTAATCCTGATCCTACATCATACTGTCTTTGGCATCAAGCCTATATATTCGTCAAAGAATTCTGAACATATGGTTTACAGCATATTGTTAAAATTAAGTGAGACTTATGCAATCAGTGGAGACGAACAGGAAGAGCTCTTAACCACTTTACAACTTCGGAGGAGAACAGACCCTCCTTAGTTCCTATGCCCTATACGTGGTCACTTCCCAAGTATGTGGAAATGTTTACTGTTGTTGACAGTAAGTGGTCTCAAATGTGGAATAATAGTGTAACCAAAACAACACAAATGATGGTAATGGATATCCATGCTCTGGTCAACAGGTACATGAAGGAGCTAAATGTGAAAGTAGTGCTTACTGGGTTAGAGAAATGAACAGAGATAAACTTAATGCAAATCCTGAAATTTGCAGGAAACACTTCAAAATTTTAATCGCCAGAGAGACTGGCATCTTTTGAGAAGGGTGAAGCATGATGTTGCTCATACGATTATTGGCCAAAGTCTTGGGAAGTACCAGGGCCATGCATTTTTTAGAGGTATCTACACTGCCAAGAAAGCAAGCAGTGTTGAATCTTTCTCTCATAAAGATATACCACATTTCACAGCTCTCATGGCTCATGATCTTAGCCACAATTTGGGAATGAAGCATCACCATGTGGCCTGCAAGTAACATTGCCAAACCTCTGCACTATGCATGAATTTACTACCGTAGATAGGGGCTTCAGCAACTGCAGCTTCTACTACCTCCACTAGCTGTTGCATAAGCACAGAGGGGACTGCCTATTTAATAAAGCTGAGCTCCAAAGCTCCTTTGGAAAGCCATATCGTGGGAATACAATAGTAGATAAAGGAGAAGAATGTGATTATGGCAGTGTCTTTGATTGTCAAAAGGATTACTGCTGTCTGCCCTCATGCCAGTTAAAGAAGGGTTCAGATTGTGCATTTGGATCGTGCTGCAAAAACTGCAAATTTCTAAAGGCAACCACATCCTGTCACCTCAGCATGGATGAGTGTGATCTCCCAGAATACTATAATGGCACCTCTAAGTGGTACCAGACAGATACCTAAAAGCAAGATGGCACACTTTGCAAAGAACAAGGTTGTTGTTAACAGAGCCCCTACTGAAGCCTAGAGAATCAGTGTGTTAAAGTCTTTGGAAAGTTGCCCAGGAAAGTTGTTATCATTACATGAATACCAAGGAAGACAGGTTTGGAAATCGTGGCAGTGAATCTAAACAGATGTTTAAAATCGTCAGCAAGTGCAAGGCCAAAGATGTAAAATGTGGGAGGCTGCTATGTGAAAACATCCAAAGGCTCCCATGCATTAAAAAACATCAAATATGGGCTGGCCCAGTGGCACAGCAGTTAAGATGGCATGCTCCGCTTAGGCAGCCCAGGGTTCACCAGCCCAGATCGCAGGCACAGACCATGCACTGCTTATTAAGCCATGCTGTGGCAGGCATCCCACATAAAAAATAGAGGAAGATGGACATGGACGTTCGCTCAGGGCTAGTCTTCCTCAAAAAAACAAACCAAAAAAACCCCCAAAATATCAAAGACTTACCTAGTTCGCCATGCAGGACACATGGTGTTGGGGTGCAGAGTTTTTTGAAGTCATAGACACGGCTGACAAGTAGAAGGTGAAGGATGGTATCCTACATGGTCCACAGAAGATCTGTATTAATGGAACCTGCTTAGATACCACTATACTCCACTATGACTGCAACCTGGACAAATTATCACTGGAAGAATATTTGCAACAATTTAAAGAACTGCCACTGTGTCTACATCTATGCCACTCCTACATGTAAATTCAAGGGTTATGGGGGCAGCTCCACGTGTCCCCTCTGACTCTCAGTATGATGAAAAGCTGAGAATCCTAATCTGGTTGTGTCTAGCCTTTTATTATTTCTCATTCCTACTATCCTTTTGTTTGCCTACAACCATAGAAAATCTAAGACCAGTGTCAATGCAAAAAATTCATCAGAAAAGCAAAGTGAACAAACCTAACAAACATTTAATAATTACCTTATTTCTGGTAACAAAGCCAAATATGAAGTGACAATGGAAGGACTTTTTAAGGATCAGACTCCTTAGTTCTGGTGTCTCTCAAGGTCTATGGAAAATGGGACGTCTTTCTTGTTTCTGTCTGTCTTTCTATATGTCAAACGTTTACTAGTTTTTAAATTAAAAGAAGTTAAAGCAGCTGCCTAGCTGAGGTAATCTTTCTTGTTCTGTGCTATCCAGAAATCAGAGTCTCCAGAGCAGGGGCAATGAGAGGTCTCAAGATGTGATCTTGAAGGAACAAGGCCAGGTTACCCTCCATTGTAAGGCTAAAAGCTCATGGCCTAAAACCTAAAGAGCTATTATTGAGCTCCCTAACATGTTATAGAAAGCTCCTTTGGAAAAACCTCTGGAACTTACTTTTCAGAGTATTCTGTATAATCCCCCATTGTAATCTACTCTGTCAATTTTCTCTAATCTTAAGGATTTTGCCTTGGACAGATCAAGGGAATTTATTAGGTGAGAAGCATCTGATTATTAGTTCCAGATGCTTTAGTTGATTATCATTCCAGTCACTTGGTCCATTTGGCTTTCCCCTTTGTTTCAGCATCATAGTACCTGATGCCCTTGCCTCACACTGACCTTGTTCATAACTTAACCAGAGAGACCAAACATCCCTTGTTATGTAATTGAAGAGGAAGAAACAGATTAGATATTACTACTTATAAATGAAGCTCTGCAGTCTGAGAATCTTTTCTTTCCCAAAAGGTTCAAATTCTACTTATCAGTCATTTATTCACTTATTCATTCATTTATTCTATAAGCATATATTTAGCATTTACTGTTAAGTTGAACCATGTAAAATTGAGATTAGACCGTTTCCACCCACAAAAATGGCAAGTTCATGTGCTTCAACTTAATTCTATGTCTAGGCACTATGGAACCTACCTTGGATTCTGCTTGTAAATGAGAGTTGAGAGTTTTTGATTTCTAGAGTTCTTTTAGTTCTGATTTCTTTTAAATTTTATAATCCCCTGTAACCTCAAAAGATTGGCCTTAATTTTCTAGAGCAGGATGGTCCCTATTGTCAAGATCTAGAACAGCACTGAACATACTAGAGACTAGGATGTGGTGTGTCTGAGCATCCCACTGCCACTTTTTTGACAGTGATTGTCCTTGCTTCTTATGAATTCCCAAAACTTCAAAGAACAGAAATCCAAGACTTTCTTTGTCCAACCTCAGAGAGAGAGAAATAGCAATGGTAAGATCTGAGTACGCTGTTGCGTGCCACCCTACGTCCCCCACAGCCATGGAGTAGAGAGTCTGGTAACGGCACGTATAAATAATAATCTGGAATTTATTTTTTCTAGAAGAGACTTAGACAAATATAATATTCATTAAGGTAATACGAGTCTATCTCTTAGATGGAAAGTGGCTTCATTTCCCTGAATAAAGACTTTAAGAATCACTAGTCAATCTATGAATAATGGAGAGGTCCTACACAATTCACCTAGAATAGCTACTAACCAAGGCACTATATCCCCTTTCACTTCCAGAGTTTAAAGCATGGTTAGAAAAGACTTAAGATGCTCTTCCACAACACTCTTCCCCGTCCATTAGTGTAGAATAACTCCAGTCCTTGGATGATCCAGTATTATAGTTTCAAAGAATGGTGGAGGTGCTGGTGGCAAAAGCAAGGGTAGATTCCAATGGATGTAGGCCCCTGCTATAGAATCTCTTCTGCGAGCACAATAATGGTGTCTGGGTGTCCGCATCACGCCGAGCCTCTTGCTTTAGGTGGTAGAAGTTGTACTGTGTCCAGCCATATACTCCACAGTTGAGCAGACCCTGGGATGATGCTGTTAGAGCCTGGAGGAGATGAAGGGGTGATGGAGCCCATCCTTCAGGTTTTCAGAGATCTAAGGAATAGTCCCCATTCCCCTTATTTATAAAGCATTGTCATATTTCCTCTATCTCAAACATCAAGATCTGGCGTCAGTTTTTTATATTTTTCTAGTTCTTCCTGAACTCACTCTTCATATTGTACCTTGTCATGGATGACTGAGACTTGGTCATATTTGTTAGTGTATACATAAGGACAAGGAAGTGGCTTCAATGCCCTTCATTATTTCCCCATTTCCCAGGTGAGGCTTGGGAAAACTGCCCTATCACACAGTCAGATAGTCCAAAAAGCCTTCTTAAATCTGGTAAACAAGGAAAAGAGAATCATTCCGTTTCTCTACGCCTCCCTCCCCATTCACCTAGAATAGAAAATTTATCCCACTCAATTCACTCTGGTTGGGAGAGAGTCACGTCACTATCAGTGTTTCATAAGAACATTATCTGGTAGATCTTGTTTTTCGTTACCCATCCCTTAAAAACACATCAATAAAATGAAATTGACCAGAGACACACATGCTCTGGAATGCATGGCAGCACTTTCACTAAAGTATCTACTTCATCTGTGAGGAAAATTTAACTTCTTCATAACTGAATATAAATAATACATTTTCTCCTTTGCAATGTAGAAATAAATACTCTGAGGGAAAAATGTGTGCTTACTGAGTAACGACAGTGTAAGAGAATAGGATATGAGGCTGTGAGAATAGAGATCCTGGATGTTGAAGGTGTTACCTGGAGAACATAGAGGGCCATGTGAAGCTTGGTGTCCTGTGGTTTAGTCAGCTTTACGATCATCAGAATGACAGCTGTGAAAACACAAAGTATAAATCTTGTTGCCAGCCCTGGCTGCTTGAGCATAAACTTCTTTAGTATACGTGCCTAAGCATTGTGAGAATACAAACTATAAGCATAATGAAGACTAGCAGTGAGATTAATCAGTTATATAAACCACTGGGCCTTGGGTCTCCAACCTCTACTCCTCATTGATTAAACTTTGCAGATTTATTAGTGTAGCAATGGTGGCAAGACATACCACAGGAAGATAAGTTATACTTCTTAACATTTTAGGATTTACCAAGCTCTTTCACAAATATTATCCAATCTGATCCTCACTACAACTTTATGTAGTAGGAAGGGCAGGTGTTAATATCTCTGAGTTCTGTCAGGACATTTCCTTGCATATCAGGTTGCATCTCATGTCTAATTATCTTAATTTCTAAAACATAAGAAAAAGAAAATTAAGGAGGTTGGGTTGGGAAGAACTTGAAATAGAGGTGGGACTAATGGAAATTTTACAAGTTGGACAGGTGTCTGCAGTCATCTTTCTTGGTGAGACCACTTTGCTTGATCAGAACCCAGTAGTTGCCTCTTCATTGCCCAGCTCTTTCCATTAAGATACCCACCCGGGCCCCAGCAGCAAAAGAAGGCCACTGGGTAGAAGCGCACTCGCTGCTCCATGATGTGAATCACTGCCCACTGTTCACTCCCCAGAAAGCCAGTGGATTTCACAAACTTCTTATACAGTGTCTGGGCTTGGATGAGTAAGACCTGACATGGGGAGAACAGTGAGTAGTTTACTTAAGGCTCAGTAAAACTTCCCAGGTCTATTCTCCTACCATTTAAGAAGGATCATCCTCTTGGGATCTGACAGCAGGAAAGACCACTGTCCTGTCATTACCATCTGACACCAAGGTTTTTCTGAGAGAAAATTATCTTCAGAGTGAACTCTTGCTTGGCTAAGGAAATGGACAGATATTAGCCAAACTTACAGTTACCATGTTCAATACACAAACCTTACATCAACCCTCAGCCTTTTTTTTCCTCACTGAGGTTAATCACAATATGCATGGAAAGTTAAAACTAAGATCTAACCTGACCCTCTTTCAAAACACTTTATTAGAGATTGTGTTAGAAAGTGTTCTATGCTTAATACCCTTAAAATAAATGCTTTAGCACTTTAAATATCCTTAAAATAAATACTTTACTTAGAACACTTTAGTGGCTAAGCTTAAATTCTGAACTCTAAGCAAAAAGAGGTTTAGGAAGTCTCTTTTTGTCTTTAGCTGGAAAACAGATTGTTTTCGCCTCCATTTGGGGGCTATCTGAATAAGATTTAGCTAACAAAAGAAATATAAATCAGGTCAGAAGTCCAATGTGCTTTTTGTAGGGAGTAAATTAGGTAATAATCTTGGTAACAAATCTGAAACTTTTCCTTAATAATCCAGATCCACTCTCTAAGTTAATAACCCAATTACTCAACTAAGTTGAGCCATGTAGTTTTCTTTCCCCACAGACATAGGAATCAAAAGGAAGCCTGAACTTACTTGAGAATATTTATGTCTAGTAAAACCAGTTTACCAGCTGTTGATTAAAAAATAATCAGAATGCTAATTCTGAATGCCCACTGAAGCCTGGGTTATTCTGAAGAAGCAAACAGGGGATCCCCAGGGTGCCAGGCTTTGGGAGACCTGTCTCTCTTGTCAATCAGTTCTAAATGTAAACTATCAAAGCCATTTTAATATAAACTAGTCACTGTGCATTCTACAAAGCTGCTGATTTGGGCTAAGCTATTTCCATAACTTGTTTTTGAATTCTCAAAGGAAATTCTCCACAATTATATTTGGTTCACATGTGCTCGCTGTGCCAGCAAAATAAAACATACTTGTGGGATAAATTTGGTCTGCAGGCACATAATTTGTAATCCTTGAACTGGCAGATGAGGAGAGGAGAAAATAATACTGAAAAGTAGATATGGCAAATAAAAAGGTATATTTGCAAGTTTACTGATTTTTACTGGGCAGTTATGTATAAATAACATACCCATGGCTGATTATTTTAATCGTACATCATTCTGATGATGTCAAATGAGTATTTAATAACTGCCTGAGACACTTAGCACCTGAACTCCAGTTAATCATAGCATAAATGCAAATTTATAGCCAATAAAGAATTGAGAAAAGAAAACTCTTTCATTATTTGGAAAATTAAATCAAAGCATATGTCCTATGTTCCAGAGTGTCAACCTGTATAAAGGATATATTTGACACATACTAGTTTTTTGGTCTGGTCCTCCATGAGAATCCACAGGAACATACATTAGTTCTAGAGTGAGCATAATTCTCACATAATGAATACATGCTCTTTTCCCCACTCATCATTTGATCTTGGGAAGTCCAAAAGACTGAGATAATAATTAAATTGTCAATATCTCCTAGCCACTTTCTTAGTTCTAGGGACTATAGGAAGTGCCTCTCCACCCCACCTTTCCCAGGCCCTGGGAATACTGCCCCATCCCTCCCAATTCCCCCTTTTTCCATAAAGGCAGGTAGGGTGGCACCATACCACAATGGTGAGGAGGCTGAGTAGAAAGCTGGCTAGGAAAATGGTGAGCCCATAAAAATAAAGTGTGCTACAGACTGATGCGTCGGCAGAAGGCAAGAGTTCAGCCATGGCTGATGGTGGTGAGTACATCAGGATACATCTACGAAAAAAATCAATGGACAGGAGTAACTGCTACAGATTTAAGACTAGAGAGATACCCATTTGGGGCTACAAAAGTTAATGAGAATGCAATTTTACTTATCATTTTGCTAACCCTTGCCCCTAACACCTTGTTCCTTCTCATAGACTCATTATCTTCTAGTCAGTTTGTCTTATATTGCTACTTCTGCACTTTTAGCCTTGACTATATGTTGTTCCACAGCCCATTTAGAATACAAGCATCTTGGCCAGAATGTATGTACAAAGTCTTCTCCCACCTCTGTTTATAGCAAAGAATACACATAGTCTACCATGAAAATGACAGATTTGCTCCTTACCTGTGGCTCTGGCTGAAGTTGTGGAAACATTCACTGGCATTGCCCAGACAGAATACAGGTATCATCAACAGTAGAGGTATCAGGCTGGGAGGAAAAAAACTTATCATCCTAGTATTCAGACTTTTTCATGCCCTTTCCCCTTTGCAAAATATTCTCCTGTTCATCTCCCAACTCTATCACCCCACCACTCTCCATAAATACATACACATTTAATTTCTTCAAGAAAAATACTTCAAAAACTTTAAGTATTCCTTCTTTTTCAGTTCCTGGGAAAGTGAAGTGGGAAATGCATTTTATACCTCAGTTAATAAGCCCTAACACAGTTTCATAGGGAATCTCTGGGAGTTGTGCAATCAGATAAAAATCCAAGTGTGTCAAAGTGAAAGGAAAAAATCTACGAACGAACTCTGTGCTTAGTCTGTTTCACCTTTCATGGTGACCAGGAACAATTTCATTCGCATCAGCCCCTTCCTGGGAGTTTTTCTCCCATAATTTTAAAGCATACTTTTAAATAATCAATTATTTATCCAGCTAAATATATCCAGCTCCTTGTAAGAGGAAAAGATCCAGGAGTAAAAGTTACAAAGTTTAAAACCAATTCTGATATGACCACCACTTTAGGTGAGATCCAGACCCTTTCTGGGCTTAATAATTGTAAGAGTCTCATTCAATGTTATAAAGATGGATGAGATCTTGAAAGCCATCTATTAGAACTCTTTATGATATATGAAAAGGAATTCGAAGTCTAAAGACTTAAAGGGAAATATTTGTTGCATGTCACATAGAGTTGATGGCAAAATTGTGGCTAAAACCAAAATCTGCAATTTCAAACTGCTTGCCTATTCTACCTGGGAAAATGATCACATATATGTTGCTTCCTACTCAGTAAGGCTCCATGAAGACCTAGGAGTGACAGATTCAATGGAAATAAATGGCATTGTCTTCCTATTTGTTCCCATCTGGACCCCAGAGTAATGAGAATCTATACCTTGCTAGGAAGGAAAGCAAAAATCTTACCTTGACAAAATGATGGCTATTTGGCCAACCTGACAAGTATAATCTATAACCTATGAAAAGAATAAGTGTGAGTAATGTCTTAGAATATTGCCAACCACGTTATAATAAATACCAGGTCATCACTTAAACATTTAATAGAACAAAAATTCCCAAGAGCTAGCCTGCTTCAGTCAAGCAATATTTGCTATAAAATTCAATGAAATAATTATTTCCTTAGGATTGGAGATAAGAGAATTTTATCTGTATGACTATCTTCTAAAAAGTACAACAACAACAACAATAGCCACAGAGAGAGCCTGCAGGAAGTAGCTTAATATAAGATTTGGATACCAGAATACATTCTCTTAAGAAGACAAATATGAAACCACACAGTAATCCTCCATCTTCTAATAACAGTTCAATATTCTTCTCTTTTAGATCCAGGGAGTTGTGGACTTTTCAGACCTCATGGGTGGAGTGAAAGTTATGTAGAAAATGACTAGCAGAAAGCATAATAAGCCAGGGTTAGTATAATAGGGCAGGATCTATTTGGATATAAGACCTTTAGATATAAGACCTATTGGACTCTAGAAGAAAGAATATTTCAAAAATCCACAGTTGTGTTAGACTCTGTAAAACAACCTACAGGAGGATGGTCCCTCCCGACTAGAAACTTAGGGTGAAAGATTTTGAACAGAACGCCTTGAAAAGATAATCGAATAGAAGCCTTTTTCCGTGTTAAGGTAGTTATCTTATCTTCTAGAATGGTAACGTTAGGGATCAATATGCATTAAGTGAGCCATTAATCAATAATCAGAGGTGGGTAATTGATTTTACCTAAGAACTTTGGGTCAAGAACAGCAAATGATTTCAAGTAGGATAGTCAGTGTCGACTTTAGGTAAAAAGAAAAATCAGTATAAATTAGTCTTTGGTAACCTCTCCCACTCCCGTGCCTTCTTCTCTTTTTATTGTATCCTCTATCCATCAGGTGGCTATCCTGTGTTTAATTCTTGTTCTTACCTGGCTGTCAATTAATCTCTGACAAAAAGCTTACTGATAATAGTTTAGGGCAGAAGTCTTGCTAGTATATCTAAAAGAGAACTCAAGGGGCCAGCCCGGTGGCGCAGCGGTTAAGTTCGCACGTTCTGCTTCTCGGTGGCCTGGGGTTCGCCGGTTCGGATCCCGGGTGCGGACATGGCACCGGTTGGCAAAAGCCATGCTGTGGTTGGTGTCCCACGTATAAAGTAGAGGAAGATGGGCATGGATGTTAGCTCAGGGCCAGTCTTCCTCAGCAAAAAGAGGAGGATTGGCAGTAGTTAGCTCAGGGCTAATCTTCCTCAAAAAGAAAAAAACAGAGGGGCTGGCCCCATGGCCGAGTGGTTAGGTTCGCGCACTCTGCTGCAGGTGGCCCAGGGTTTCGTTGGTTCGAATCCTGGGAGCGGACATGGCACTGCTCATCAAGCCATGCTGAGGCAACGTTCTACATGCCACAACTAGAAGGACCCACAAGGAAGAATATACAACTGTGTACCAGGGGGCTTTGGGGAGAAAAAGGAAAAAAACTTTAAAAAATCTAAAAAAAAAAGAGAGAGAGAGAACTCAAAAATAAAAAAAGAAAAAGGAACCCTCCCCCCCCCCCAAAAAAACTTCAAGGCTCCTGGTATAAAGCTATAATGACAAAATAATAGGCAGTGAGTTAAAATTTGGGGCCAGTTTTTCTTCTTGGAACTAGTGTAGCATGAGTTATAAAGTATAGTATGTACATTTGTATGCATAGAAAGCAGTAGAATACATATAGGAGAGTTAATCTTATATTAACTCTCTTTTCCTTCAAAGATTAATTTGTTCTCCTGCCAGGAGCCCAAGTCACGGAAAAATATTCCCCCATGTTGTCCCTTGGCTTCTGGTCTCATCATGGTAACTTCTTTAGGAAATGACTCTGTGGCCGAATAACTTCTCCCAAATTCCAAATTCTTAGCTTGTAAATGAATGAATGAATGAATGAACAAAAACTTGAAATACTATCCCCATAAGGCTGTTGAACTTTTTAGACATTTGCCTGAAAGGAGGAAAATGAACTAATTGTCTCTTTGTAGTATGTTCCAGCCCTAGGATTATAGAAATATGCAGACAAATATGTAAAAGGATATATAGCCATGAGTCGTTACTAAATTGTAGCGAGTTGAGAAACTATACAAGTTTAAAATATAGAAGAATAATTATAAGTTTTGAGTCCCCAGAGGTAAACAAGAGAAAAAGGCACCAAAATACAGTCCTGTGCTTACAATACAGTGGCCACTGCTACCTGTTTTTAAATTAAAATCAAGATTAAATAAAATTAAAAATTCAGGGCCAGCCCCATGGCCGAGTGGTTAAGTTCGCGCGCTCCACTGCAGGCGGCCAGTGTTTCCATGGTTTGAATCCTGGGCGCGGACATGGTACCACTCACCAAGCCACGCTGAGGCGGCGTCCCACATGCCACAACTAGAAGGACCCACAACTAAGAATATACAACTATGTACCGGGGGGGCCTTTGGGGAGAAAAAGGAAAAAACTAAAATCTTTTAAAAAAAAACCTAAAAATTCAGTTCCTCGATCATGCCAGCCACATTTCAAATACTCAATAGCCACATACGGTTAGTGGTTACTGAACTGGACAGTACATAAAATATTTTGATGATTGCAAAAAGTTCTATTGAACACTGCTTGTATAGAGTGTAATATCTTGTTCAGGATGCTGTTTAAGAGGTCTCTTCACGTTAATTTTTTAACGATCTCCCCACTGCCCTTTCTCCTTAAAGCAAAAAAGGAAAAAAAAGGAGAGAAAAGGTGCCAGCCCCATGGCTGAATGGTTAAGCTCGCGCACTCCACTTCGGCGGCCTGGGGTTTCACCGGTTCAAATCCTAGGCGCGGACATGGCACCGCTCATCAGGCCATGCTGGGGCGGTGTCCCACATGCCACAACTAGAAGGACCCACAACTAAAGATACACAACTATGTACTAGGGGGCTTTGGGAAGAAAAAGGAAAAATAAAATCTTTTTTTTTAAAAAAAAGGCGACAGAAAAGCTTTAAAAGCATTCTATGCCCCTCCCCTTCTCCAACAGTATGTATCTAGAACAAGGCTAGAAAAAAAGCAAGAAGAATATCTTCTTAAGAAGTCAGTCAGATGAGGATTCAAGAGTATCATAGCATTTTAGAGCTTGAAGGGACGTTAAAGATCACACAGACCAAAACTTCATTTTATGATGAAAAATTAAGGCCCAAGAAAGGGAGATGATGTGCCAAGGTCACACAGGAGATAAATGACAGAACTGGGTCTAGAGGCTGGCCCCATGGCTGAGTGGTTAAGTTCGTGTGCTCCACTATGGCAGCCCAGGGTTTTGCCAGTTTGGATCCTGGCGCGGACATGGCACTGCTTGTCAAGCCATGCTGAGGAGGCGTTCCACAAAGCACAACCAGAAGGACCTACAACTAGAATATACAACTATGTACTCGGGAGCTTTGGGGAGAAGAAGGAAAAGAAAGGAAGAAAACTGGCAACCAGATGTTAACTCAGGTGTCAATCTTTAAAATAAATAAATTAATAAATTAATTAAAGAACTGGGTCTAGAAGACAGATCTCTTGATTCACCTTCAAATGCTCTTTTCACAATGCTATAGTATCATTTATTCACTCAACAAATATTTATTGAGTTTCATCATTGTGTGACAGTATACCACTTTCATTTGTTCTAGAACTGATCTGTAGGCTGTAGGGAAAGGTATGTTGGCAGGCTTTCCAGATTAATTTGTTCCATGGTGCCCTTAAATAAAAATTCCCCTTCAAAAAACCACAACAAAATGAATACTGCAGAAATAAGAAGACTGGATGTCTATAAGACGACTAAAACATATAAAGACATTTAAAGAAATGAAAATTTCTAACATCATAAAAATGTCCTCTGCCAAGATCGCTCAGTGATATAGTGATATACTGAAGGAATCAGAAATAAGAAACTAGTCCTAGTATAAAGTACTAAACAACAGAATACTATTCAGCAATAAAAAGGAATGAATTACTTATACATGCTATAATGGATAAACTTCTAAAGCATTCTGCTAAGTGAAATAAACCAGACACAAGAGACTATACATTGTATGATTCCATCTATATGAAATGTTCAAAAAAAAGAAAATCTGTGGAGACAGAAAGTAGATTAGTGGCTGCCTAGTGCAGGAGATGGGAAGTGAATTAACAGTAAAAGGCATGAAGAATTCTAGTAGGGTGAAGAAAACATTCTGAAACTGATTTATGATGATAACTGTACAATTTGGATAGTTTATTTAAAAACCATTGAAGTGTACACTTGAAATAGGTGAATTATGTAATATGTAAAATATGCATTCACAGAAAAGAATCCAGATGTACTGACTTAGTGTTCTTCTCTCTTTTATAATTGTAATGCTAGGCAGTGCCCAAAACTTTTTGTAAACCAAAGAAAGTAAGACAACTGCTCCCTGGTTTTGTCTTGTTTTCTGATAATCATACAGTAATTCGTCTGCCCTTCTGCAAACAAATATCAGTTACCCACACATACTGGAGAAATATAGCAGAGAAGAACAAAAACTCTCCATTTCCAATATCTGTAGCCCAAATCCTGTATTAGCAGACTGACTACTTTCCTTGACTCTTCTCCAAGATCTTTTCTTTACTCTAGCAACAGTGATGGATTGGCATGGAGCCAAGAAAGATTTCCCATACTGAATGGAACCAGGCAAGAATGGGAGTACTGTAAATAATGTTTCCTATAATCAGATGCACTTTTTTTGGTGGCAAGAGAGAAGAGGAAATTATTTTAACACAATGGAAACTCTATGAGAACATGGTTTTTCTTTTTCTTTATTAACCTCTATGAATTCACCTAGCCAGCCATGAGTGCTTAGAGTGTTTTTCAAGGATATATGGGTTTCTTTTAGCACACTGTTCTTAACTATTAGCTCTAAATAAAACTTACCGGTGGAAATGTGCTCTGTCCATGCAGCTTGTGTTTCATCCTCAGCTCTTTGTATAAATACCAGATGTAATTGACAGTGTAGAGAAATGAGGAAATGTAGAATATCTAGGTGAAAATTAAAACAACCCATCATAACTGTCCCACTCTAACTTCCTTCAATTTATTCCATTATTTTCTACTATAGGAATCCTACCTCTCAGTTGTTAGTAACTTACCATGTAGTATCCATACCATGAAAAACCAGATCAAGCCTGGGAATTCTACCCAGGCTTACCTAAACTATGTCCCAGCTTCCTTATTTTATCCTTTTGACTATTCAGAGGAACCACAGCATTATCCACCTCCTCTCAACCAACTGTCGCACTTTTATGAAGATATCATAGAATCTTTTTCTATTTTTTTAATTGAAAAGATCATAAGGATTTCCACTTCTAATAATTACAGCCCAAGCTATTTGAACCAAACTTCCTATTCAAAAGAACTAAACATGCTGGATAAAGCATTTTTTAAACCCTTAAAAGCATCAAAGAACTGACAAGATAGCAAGGAACTAGCAGGACAAAATCCAAGGGAAGAAATTTATGCTTCCATCTTTGATGAGATAGGAATAGAATGTGCCTTTCAGCCTTAAAAACTAAAAATTGGACAAAATATATAAAAACACCCAGTTTTCAAACACTGGATAACAATCAGTGCAGAATGCAATCCCTGAAAGAAAACAAACAAACAAGTTGACCCCATCAAGTGCCCCAGCTCACTGGCTGGAAAAAGTGAGTGCAGTGAGGTGGAATCCAAACAGAGACAGGCTGTCCTGGTGAGTTGCAGAAACAGAGTTCAGAGTTTGGGGAGGCCAAGGCAGCTAAAATTTGTGAAGCAGATTATCAGAGAAGAGGTAGTCACACAGAGATATAGTGCTCTGGAGATTTGCAGAGGTACTCTCAAGTCTTTGATTAAGTATTAATCTATGCATGTTGGAGAGAAAACCATGAAGATCAGGGAAAGAACCACCAGAAAGGAGTGGGTGGAACAATCTCCAAAGGAATCTTCAGAATAAAAGTTTGTGTTCCCATCAGCCAGAGTGGAAAGACTTCCTAATACCTAGGCGGGAATGGCAGTACTGTAGAATAAAAAGATAGAATTATAAGAGTAATATTGCCTCACTAATGAGTCCAATCTATACATGGAAGATTGCCCAAACCAAAGCTTAAAAGTAAGCTTCAAAAAATAAGCAAGCCTTGAAAGGATCAAATAGATTCAGAGTTAACTATATCTAAGACAAAACTCTCAAACTTAAAGGAATATATTTTAAAAAAAAATCTAATACTCAGTAATGTAAAATCTACAATGTTTGGAATCTAATAAAATATTATGTCATCCAAAGAAGCAGGAAAATACAACCCACAAAAAAGAGAAAAATTAATCAATAAAAATGAACTCAGTAATGACAGAGATTATAAAAATTAGTAGATAGAAATGTTAAAGGAATGATTACAAATATACTCCATATGACCAAGAAGGTAGAGGAAAGCATAAGACATAAAAAAGACCCAAATTGAAATTCTAGAAATGAAAAATATAATATACGAAATTAAAAACATGGCAAATTAGAAACCACAAAAGAAAAGATTAGTAAAACTGAAGGCACAGAAATAGAAACTATTTAAAAAATGAACAAACCCTCAGTGAGCTGTGTAACAATATCAAGCAAGCTAATGCACGGAATTGGAATTCCAGAAGGGAGGGAGAAACAAAATACATTGGAAGAAATAATAACCAAAATTTTTCCAAATTTGATGAAAATATAAACCCATCATATCCAAAAAGCTTAATAAAACCAAGCATAAGAAACATGAAGAAAACACACCAAGGTACATCATAATCAAATTACTTAAAATCAGTGATAAACAGAAAACACCAAAAGCATCCAGAGTAAAAAGACACATTACATACACAGGAACAAAGATAAGAATGACAGCAGACTTCTTATCAGAAACACTGCAAACCAGAAAACATGAGAAACATCTTTAAAATACCCACAGAGAAAAAACACTTGCTTTCTTTTGCTTGCCATTTGGTTGAAGTGAGGGGATGGAAGATGATAAGCAAATGGCAAGCAAAGAAACCAAGTGTTGCCATACTTATATCAGACAAAGCAGACTTCAAGATAAAAAAGATAAGGAGAGACAAAGAGGGGCAGCATATAATGATAAAAGGGATATTCCACCAAGAGGACATAACACTTATGAATATATATACACCTAACAGGAATACCAAAGTATATAAAGCAACTATTAACAGACCTAAAGGGAGAAACTGACAGCAACATAATAATAGTAGGGGACCTCAACACCCCAATTACATCAATGGATACATCATCCAGACAGAAAGTCAACAAAGAAACAATGGCCTTAAATGAAACAGTAGACCAGATGGACTTAATAGATATATACAGAACATTGTATCCAAAACCAGCAGAACACACATTCTTCTCAAGTGTACATGGAACATTCTCAAAGATAGACTATGTGTTTGGAAACAAGGCAAGCCTCAATAAACTTAAGAAGATTGATATCATATCAAGCATCTTTTCTCACCACAATGCTATGAAACTAGAAATCAACTACAAGAAAAAAGGTAGGAAAATCACAAATATGTGGAGACTAAACAACATGCTACTGAACAACAATTAGGTTAATGACAAAATCAAAGGAGAAATCAAAAAATACCTGGAGACAAATGAAAATGAAAACACAACAAACTGACTCTTATGGGATGCAGTAAAAGTGGTACTAAAAGGAAAATTTATAGCAATACAGGCCTACCTCAATAAACAAGAAAACTACACCTAAAAGAGCTAGAAAAAGAACAATCAAAACCCAAAGTCAGCAGAAGGGGAGAAATAATAAAAATTAGAGCAGAAATAAGTGAAATAGAGACTAAGAAAAAAAACAATAGAAAGGATCAATGAAACTAAGAGCTGGTTCTTTGAGGAGATTAAAAAATTTACAAACTCTTAGCTAGACTCACCAAGAAAAAAAGAGGGAAGACTCAAATAAGTAAAATTGAAAATGAAAGAGGAGAAATTACAACAGATACCACAGAAATACAAAGTATTATAAGAGAATACCATGAAAAACTACATGCCATCAAATTGGATAACCTAGAAGAAATGGATAAATTCTTAAAATCACACAATCTCCCAAAACTGAATCAAGAAGAAATAGGGAATCTGAATAGACCAATCACAAGTTAAGAGAGAGATTGAAACAGTAATCAAAATCTCCCGAAAAACAAATGTACAGAACCAGATGGCTTCTCTGGAAAACTCTGTGAAACATTTACAGAAGATTTAATACCTATCCTTCTTAAACTATTCCAAAAAATTGAAGAAGATGGGATGCTTCCTAACTCATCCTATGAGTCCAACATTATCCTGATACCAAAACCAGACAAGGACAACACAAAAAAGGAAAATTACAGGCCAGTATCACTGATGAACAAAGATGCCAAAATCCTCAACAAAATATTAACAAATTGAATACAATGATACATTAAAAGGATCATATACCACAGTCAAGTGGGATTTATTCCAAAGATGCATGGATGGTTCAATATCTGCAAATCAATCAATGTGATACACCACATTAACAAAACAAGGAATAAAAATCACACGATTATCTCAATAGATGCAGAGAAAGGATTTGACAAGATCCAACATCCATTTATAATAAAAACTCTCAAAAAAAAATGGGTATAGAAGGAAAGTGCCTCAACAGAATAAAGGCCATATATGACAAACCCACAGCCAAGATCACACTTAACGGTGAAAAACTGAAAGCCATCCCTCAGGAACAAGATAAGGGTACCCACAATCACCACTCTTACTAAACATAGTACTGGAGGTTTTGGCTAGAGCAATTAGGCAAGAAAAAGAAATAAAAGAAATCCAAATTGTAAAGAAAGAAGTGAAACTCTCACTGTTTGCAGATGAAATGATTCTATCTATAGAAAACCCTAATGTATCCACCAGAAAACTATTAGAAATAATCAACAACTAAAGCAAAGTTGCAAAATCAACACACAAAAATAAGTTGCATTTCTATACATTTAGAGAAGTCACAAATAAAATCCCATTTACAATAGCAACAAAAAGAATAAAATATCTAGGAATAAATTTAATCAAGTAGGTGAAAGACCTACACACTGAAAACTATAAGACATTATTGAAAGAAATCGAAGACAATATAAAGAAATGGAAAGATATTCCATGCTCATGGAAGAATAAACATAATTAAAATGTTCATATTACCTAGAGTAGTCTACAGATTCAATGCAATCCCTATCAGAAACCTGATGACATTCTTCATGGAAATAGAACAAAGAATCCTAAAAGTGATATGGAACAACAAAAGACTCTGAACAGCTGAAGCAATCCTGAGAAAAAACCACAAAGTTGAAGGCATCACAATCCTTGACTTCAAAATATACTATGAAGCTACAGTACTCAAAACAGCATGGTACTGGCAGAAAAACAGACACATAGGTCAATAGAACAGAATTGAAAGCCCAGAGATAAAACCACACACCTATCAATAGCTAACCTTTGACAAAGGAGCTAAGAACACACAATGGAGAAAGGAAAGTCTCTTCAATAAATGGTGTTTGGAAAATTGGACAGCCACATGCAAAGGAATGAAAGTAGACCATTATTTTTCATCATACACAAAAATAACTCAAAATGGATTAAAGACTTGAATGTAAGACCTGAAACCATAAAAATCCTAGAAGAAAATATAGGCAGTACACACTCTGACATTGGTCTTTGCAGTACCTTTTCGAATACTATGTCTACTTAGGCAAGTGAAACAAAAGAAAAAAAATAAACAAATGGAACTACATCAGACTGAACAGCTTCTGCAAGGCAAAGAAAACCATGAATGAAATGAAAAGACAACCCACCACCTGGGAGAAAATATTTGCAAATCATATATCTGACAAGGGTAAATTTCCAAACTATATAAAGAACTCATACAACAATAACAAAATGAAGAACCTGATCAAAAAATGGACAGAGGATATGACAGGTATTTTTCCAAAGAAGATAT